TAAGACATCATCGACGGTACACTCGGCGTCCATACAGAGTGTCGTGTCTTCACTCGGAACCACTATTTATAAGGCTTTAGATTATGGCACCGAAGAGGACGAGGAGATTGTCATATCATCTTCGCTGAAGAAGACATTCGAGCAAATGATTGGAGTATTGTGTCATCAAATCGAAAGGAGTGGCCGTTTGTGTCCATAAGAAGCAAACGGACGCCAAAGAAGCGGACATTTTGGACGATAAGCCGAAGTCTAAGTCGAGACAAGGCATGGATTTGTCGCTCGACGACAGCGATGATGAGGACGACGACGACTATGAGGACGAGTTGGAAGAGAAGAGCACTTTCGCCAAAGAGGACGAAAACAAACTGAAACTCTGCACTCCGTGTCCAGTCGTGCGGCCAGAGTTCATCTGCGGCTCAGACAACGCCACGTATTCATCCATATGTCGCCTCGATTTCCACAATTGTGTCCACAAGACGCAGGTTAGCCTCGAGTGCACCGGATTTTGTCCGTGTCTTCCGAGGAAGAAGAAGGCGAACAACGAGAAGAAGTGGTTTGAAAACAGGAAAACCGGAAAAGACTTCGAGAGTAAGAGCCGATTCCCGAAGGAGAAGAAGAGTGCGGCGAATGAGTTGAACAGATCTGACAATAATTTGGATAAATATAAGAAATCAAAGTTTTCTTTCAAGACAAACAAACCCAAGAAATGGCAAAATATGCAAAACTCTGTTCTGCCGAACAAACACTACGAATCCTCCAAACAGGAGCACAAGAAGTGCACCGGCGATGACCTCAAGAGTATGGGCTCACGACTACTCGATTGGTTCAGTGTTGTGATCGGCGAGCAAAAGAAGGACCACTCGATGCTCAGCCGCAAGCACTCGGCCTTTAAGATACCCGACTGTCAGCCGGAGGTCTCGTACATGTTTCACCACTTCGACACCAACTCTGACCTCAAGTTATCCCTCAAAGAGCTCTACTACTTAGAGCACGACCAGAATGAGCACTGTTTACAGCCATACCTCACGCAATGCGATGAAGACAACGATCAGTTTCTCAGTGCTTACGAGTGGTGCACCTGTTTTGACAAAAAGAGTAATTTATTTGTTTCATTATCTCTATTATTCTCGTCATTCAATGCCATTATTCTGTACCTATTCTGTACCCACAGGTCAGCCCTGTCTGAATGCATTAAAACACACCAAAAAGGGACTGTTGGGCGCATACACTCCACAATGTGATAGCCATGGCTTCTATAAGTCAATGCAATGTCACTCGAGTTCAGGCATCTGTTGGTGTGTCGACAAGAATGGCGTCGAGTTCACGAACACCAGACGAAGAGGTTCACCCGATTGTAGTACGTGTTCACCACTTGTTTACTCATACTATTTGACTGTATCTCTGAAATGTATGTATTATTTACCCGAACAACAGAAGGACTGCTGAACAGAGCCCGTCATCGGACTATTGAAGACCAGTTGACATCACGCGAAGACATCGATGTGGACGACGATGGAGACGATGACGACGACACCGGCGGCTCAGGCGATGATCGCATTAGTGTATAGTGTCTAATGACAGGAACCGGTAGTATTTGATTTGTCATTCCGTTTAATAAATCAATTTTTTTGATTAATTAATAATAATTATGTAAACGACAAAAAAGTAATAAGATTTAGAAAATCGCTGTTATTATCACTAATAATATTAATACTCATATCATTGTTTGTACGTATGTTTAATGTACCCCTTTGTGGTCCACAAAGGGATCGCCAAATCATTCCTAAGACAACAAAACAGTTACAAAAACAAAGCCACAAATAATTGTTGCCATAATTTCGTGTAATGTTTGTGTTTTTCATATTCCGGTTTCGGTTTTACGTAATAATTTTAATTAACAAATATTTTTTTCAATTATTTTGTTGTTAAGTATATATTATTTACTTATTTTTAAATTATTTTTATTTTTATTTTGTTAAATATATTGAATGTATGTATGATTTAGTACTACAAACACTTACGAACACATATTATTTGAATATGATTTGAACAGCAAAATCCAGTGTGTCTTCCATTTGAGTTCACTGTATATTTGGTTTCATTAATAATAAGGCTTTTTGGTTAAGAGGCTAATAATCTTAACGAGAAGTGGATTTGTATTTTATATTTTTCGTTCTCAAACTTATTTAAGAGATAATTATTTGTATGATTTGACAATATTTGTGGTCACATTCTCTCTCGCAATACAACACCGACAATGTTTCATAATTACTCAATTTCTCACACAATTTACCATTGAATATAGACATTAGTTACTGTAAGTGTCTTAAGACATAAAAACCTTCTCATTAGAAGTGATGCCAAACCCATAGATTCCTCGAAATGTAAAGTTATTTACAATTCAATTAGACTTTCATTTCTCTTCCAATCGCTCACCTGTTTGTCACAACACTTATTACTAGTATTCATAATATTATTCATTAAATAATGATTATTATTATTAATTATATTTCAATTATTTAAAATAATGTATTAGTTATTATGATGTAATTAATAATAAAATTTAAAGTAAAAATTTTAAGTTAAAAGTTTGTAATTATTCGTTAATATTTGGCTGTATTTCAATATCTTATGATTGAGGTATGATTTCATAGTAAGTATGAGACAATTTATTAATTGGATTTATATAATTATAAATTTATAACCTTAATTATTAAGTGCTTGTAATCAAATTACAGTACAGTATACTGGGAATCAAATCTAAATTCATTGCAATTTTAGATATTATTTAATTGATTTGTATTCAATCATATTTTTGCATTCAATGCAACACTTATTGCCAGTGAAACGCTGTGTTAAGAATTGTTTTTCTACTTCAATCTGAAACTCAAATAACAAATAACTCTTTTCAATGGGAATAACGAAGAATGACTTGAATTTCTCTATTAGTTATACATTTTTTAATGAGTCAAACGTGTTATCAAAAGCCATTATTTCAGTGTCTTCTCAGTCAAAGATTGTTTTCTTTTTAAAAATATTATTATTTAAATACATGTTATACTAATAGTAATAACAAAACACATTTCTTATCACTGTATGCTTTAAGTATCCATTAATTTGAAGAATACTGTAATTGTATGAAAACTATTTGTTACGAAAAGTGTGAAAATATTCACTAAACATAAGAAATCCGTAAAAATATTGGTAACGAAGGAATGACAGGTATATTAAAATTTATAATAATAATGTATTTTCTTATAATAAAATATAACTTTAATATGTATTAATAGTTTATTATAAGCGTTATCTTATGCATATTATTTTTATACGGATTAAAGTGTACTTCATGTATCCAAATCTGATCAGTGAAATATTTGAGTGTAATATGAGTTTCAGTATTATTCCTGACGTTTAACTGAAAATCTAATGTCAAATACAATTTGAATATAAAAAGCGCTGAAAATCTGACAAAGTTTTGGACTTTCTATGGATTAGGAATAAAATTGACTTTTATTTCAGTTCTCTACAGTATTTATAAAACCAAGGTACCAGGTACCAACTAATATTGAACTTTAGTCGAGATTTTGTATAAAAGAGACAGACTTTTGTGAAACAATATAACACTCAGTCCTAGACTTTGAAGAGAATCTGTTTGAAAATATTTATATAAACTATTCGTGTCTTTCATGTCATAAAAGTTTATTTTGACACAAAAATGCCTAAAGTTTGTGCAATAGATTACTGTCTTGAGTTGGATTCAATTCTTCGCGCATTTCATTGTGGCATCAAAGAGGAGCAGTCGTGGGCTCTCATCCACCAGTCAGTCGCCTGTCTTAAGGAGGATCTGATCCGTAATATTGACCACTTATTCATTAAATCAAACCATCTGTATATTAAAAACAACGGAACAATTCACCACAAGTCATGGCTTAAGACATCATCGACGGTACACTCGGCGTCCATACAGAGTGTCGTGTCTTCACTCGGAACCACTATTTATAAGGCTTTAGATTATGGCACCGAAGAGGACGAGGAGATTGTCATATCATCTTCGCTGAAGAAGACATTCGAGCAAATGATTGATTACGACACCGGAGATGATGACAGTTTGGATGAGATTGAAGTGGACTTTGATTCACACTTTTTGGAGTATCTGCTGAACAAATGTCGCGATCGTATGATAGATGACACCGACATAGAAGAGCATTACAGACATGTCTGCAGAGCTTTGGTCGCCGAAGCCATCGACAGCGAAGAGGTCGATAAGATTCACGTCGAGGTGTGGGCCCATCTGTGGCGTCAGTTAAGAGTTGGCATCTCTTTGAATCACATCAATAGACAGGAATCCCTTCATCGGCAACAAAAAGAGTACGAATTGACACCATTTGAGATGCTTTTAGATGACATCAAATTCAAGAGGTATTCATTGAAAAAAGTGGTAAATCTGCCAAAACGTGTCGAGACAGACAACGACACTCTCGTCATGGATGTCATCCCTTCGCTTAAATCTGTCGCCGACCGTGTCTTAAGTCCATTACCCCAGAGGCCACCCACTCTTCACGAGAAGGCCATGAATGGCATCAAACAGACCCCTCATCTTCGGCCATCGCCGCGACCTTTAAAACGCAAATACGATTCATTACATCTGCCGCGAGGCAAGAGATTCAAAGTGCCCTCAATTGTTTGAACAGCAGAATCTAATCATTACCCGTCGCCCAAGAGATGACCGAATCCTATGCCAAAGCCGCCGCCAGAAGGCCTTCCCTTTGGGATAAGATAAGTCGGACTATTTGGCAGAAAGTAGACAATCATTAATCCTTATCTCAGTTCAAGTCTTATAATGATTACCTGTTTTTACCTAATTGTACAACACTGCTTTTTATATATTCGTAATCATCATAATCTTCATTTAAACACATTATGATAATTGTTATTTATTAAAGTATTTTTAATTTTGCTTTTTTAATGTTCACTATTCCGTGAATGATAGGCCAAAATTGTTTTACTCGTAAAATATTTTATAAATATTACTTTTTGTTTAGTATGAATTGTGCACTTATTTTGGCAATTTACAGTTGTATTATTTATTATTAATATTTGTTCTTACAGATTATAACAATATCTGATATTTTCATTAAATAAGATTTTATTATAAAACAATTGTATTATTTATTAAATAGAGACTTATAGGACTTATGCTACCAAAACTAATTTTATAATTTATATATTTAACAAATTATTTTATTTATTCAACGAAAGTCCATTAAAAGTTATGATAAAATTAAATAAATTAACTTACTACTGTACTTGTTACGTTATTCAAATACAAAATCAAGTAATGTATGCTTGTAAACAATTGACAGTACAGTATACTGGAAATCAAATCTAAATTCATTGCAAATTTAGATATTATTTAATTGATTTGCATTGAAATGAGCGCCAAATGCATGCATTTCGTGACGAGTGCTCACTATTGGGTGAATGCATTGCAGACACTGTTTACGACTATTGATAAACATGTGATAACACTGTTATCATAACAGTAAGCATTTGAGAGATACAGTGAATGACAATATGATTGCCACAAGACTTTGGTCACGACTCGGGCATCGCATACGGACACAGACCACCACCAGATGGTCATCCAGATGGTCATCCACGGCAACAGCGAGTGGCAAACCATTGGTGACGATCGAGAAGCGAGAAGATGTCACTCTTATTGGCATCAATAGACCAGAGAAGAGGAATTGTGTGAACAGACAAACCGCTGGACAACTACTGCAGGCCTTCGAGGACTTCGACAGAGACACGACCTCTCGAGTGGCTGTACTTCACGGGAATGGCGGCACGTTTTGCGCCGGCTATGACCTCCAGGAGTTGTCCCAAACGGACGCCACCGTTGAGTCGCTCATCACTCGCGGACCAATGGTTTGCATCTTATCTGAAGACGATCTCAACGCCACCGTTGAGACCCATTTGAATGTATAAGTTGTGAACTGATGTGCAAACAGTTGTGTCTATGATCTCAGGGCCCGACTATGATGTTGACGTCGAAGCCGATCATCGGCGCCATCGATGGCTATGCGGTCGCGGGTGGGCTCGAGTTAGCGCTTCTTTGCGACCTCCGAGTGGTCGAAGAGAGCGCTATAATGGGTGTCTTCTGTCGCCGATTCGGAGTCCCTCTCTTAGACGGCGGAACCGTTCGCCTCCAGAGACTCGTCGGCCTCTCCCGTGCCTTAGATCTCATTCTCACGGGTCGTCCCATTGAGGCCAAGGAGGCGCTGGAGTTTGGTTTAGCCAACCGAGTGGTGGCCATTGGCACGGCTTTAGGACAGGCCTACAATTTGGCCAAATCTATAACGAAGTTCCCTCAGGAGTGCCTCAAAGCCGACCGAAAGTCCACATATTATGCCGCATATGATAGCAATTCATTGGACGAGTCTCTGAGATATGAGTTTGAAAACGGAAAGCATATCATCACTAAGGAATCGGTCGAAGGTTTGCCTTGTTTTGAGTTTTGTGTATCATTTGCACTAAT